TTTAGCTCATCCACAGTGTTTGGTCAATATTCCACAGATTCTCTATGGCGTTCAGGTCAGGAGAGTTGGCAGGCCAATTGAGCACAGTGATACCATGGTCAGTAAAGCATTTACCAGTGGTTTAGGCTCTGTGAGCGGGTGGCAGGTCGTGCTGAAAAATTAAATCTTCATCTCCATAAAGCTTTTCAGCAGATGGAAGCATGCAGTGCTCCAAAATCTCCTGATTGCTAGCTGCATTGACCCTGTCAATCACCCATATAAGACAATAAAAGACCTGAAATATTTCAGTTAGTGTGCAATAAATCTAAAATATATGAATGTTCAAGTTTTATCATTACATTATGGAAATTAACTTTATCACAATATATTCAAACATTTTGAGAAGGAGCTGTACATACATGTTTAAGCCAGAATGATTTGACATTCAAATATGATCTTCCTATGACTCCCTAAAATCAACATAACATATATCTGGCCGACTGGAAAACCATTTTGTCTTCTGTTTCCTTTTTTTTTTAAAGAGCAGCTTAAAGAAATAGTCTTTATAATAAGTCTTTGGGTTTTTTAGTGGGAGATAGAACAGCAAAAAAATGACCACGTATATAGGAGTCGTTCAATCTTTAGGATAATCTGATAGTGATGAATAAACTGTAAGAATAAAAGGTTAAAATAAAGGAAATCAAATAAAAACTATAAATATTAATATGATGATTATATTATAAACAAGAATAAAAGTGCCATGACATATTAGAAGTCAATGAATGAATTAAAAAGTACATTAATAATCAGGAGAGAAAAAACAGATAAAGAAAAGTGGAGGCCAGTTTTCCCTCCTTTTTAACCCCTTATAATCCACCAGAGCAGGCATTCCCTAAGCCGGTCCTGGAGGGCCGCTGTCCTACAGGTTTTAGAGGTTTCCTTGCTCCAGCACAGTGAATGGCTGATTAACAGGCTTTTGCTGAAATGCATCGTCATAATCAGCTGTGCTAAAGCAGGGAAACGTCTAAACCCTGCAGGACAGCGGCGCTGGAGGACCGACTTTGGGAATGCGTGGGCTAGAGGCATGGGAGGGTGACTCTCCCCGCCTCCTTTTACCAGATATTGCTTGAATTCTCCTTTTCTGTATTTCTAAATAGTTTTGCTTCTATATTTTAAATGAAATATGCTGAATTACTTTTTTATCAAAATAAGGAAACTTCTTCACAAAGAAAATTAAAAGGTGTTTGTGACCCACTTGTGACTTCCCCAAAGCACTGGATGACTCCCAGAGAGATTGCCTTCCTCCTGAAGGCGTTAAGCAGAGTCCAGGGATCGAACCAGCCTTCGTTCTCCAGCCCTGCATGACACCAGAGACACGTCAGACTCAAATAAAATCAGCTGCAGGACAAGAAGATGTTCACAAAAAGTATAAATCCATTAATTTTCCTCTTGCTCTATCTGCTTCTACAGACAGCTCTCCAGTTCCTCTCTATTTTCAGCAGTTTTTCATCGAATTGGTGATGTATTTCCATGCAAAAATCTTTGCCTATTGACTCTTGTTGAAAGCGCAGTAGCTCCTCTGCAATACAGAAGTATAGGAGAGCTCAGGGAGCAGCTATGGTGCTTACTGAGGTGACAAGAACTGCCATCTTAAAAGAAGCTGGAGGTGAAGCCGTTTGGACCTGATCAGCCGCACAGCAGAATTAGTAAGCAGTCCAAAGACAGATGGAGATGGTACACTTTATTTTTCCAGGACCTGGTTTAGCTACAAGGCTTGGCTAACTGCATGTAGCGAGGCTAAAGCTTTATTCTGCTTTCCCTGCCTCCTTTTTCAAACATCAGGATCTGATCCAGCATGGATAAAAACAGCTAGGACTGATTTAAAGCACTTTTTAGAAAAGGTAAAGAAGAATGAACAACCTGGGATTCACAGGGAAAATAATAGAATATAGTATACTTTTCTAGATGTTTGTTAATTTGCATAGTTGCTCTCAAATAAACACATTCTTAGAATATAGTTTTTATATATTATTTTATATACATTTTATATGTATTATGTCTGCTTCTGTCTCCTTGAACCCCAGTCGGCCTCAGCAGATGGCCGCTCACACTGAGCCTGGTTCTGCTGGAGGTTTCTTCCTGTTCAAAGGGAGTTTTTCCTCTCCACTGTCGCTACAAGCATGCTTAGTGTGAGGGATTGCTGAAGAGTCAATGAGTCGATGCAATCAGCTGGTTTTCCTTAGAAAACTTTGAATCAATCTGACTTTATTCCTGGTAAAAATTCTAAAAAAAAAGTTAAAAAACAATCCACTGGACTTTGCTTCCAAGTTTGAAGACGTTTTGCTTCCCATCCAGGAAGCTTTTTCAATTCAAAATGTCAGGAAAAGCATTGAGTTCCAGGTTTTATCCAGTAGCCCAACAAAGCCTGTTTTTGCTTAGAAAACATGCAAATTGAACCAGACGAACGGGTCCATCCCTTTGGAATGGGGGTCATTTGGCTGCTTTTGTTCGCCTGCAGTGACCCATACCTGTCTATGGGGGTCATTAAAGGGGATAGTTGTCCTGGATGAATAGGCGAGGTCCTTCGCTGTTGTTTTTTGAAAGCTGAAATGTGAGCCCACCTCCTCTGTTTAAGGTTGATTTTTCTTTCTTAACATGAATGGCTTCCTTCACGCCCCTCTAAAACATTTTTTAGAATGACTATGACCGGGATGACTGAGAATCTTCACCAACATATTCCTGTTAAAAAGTAGTTTTTCCTCTCCACTGTCACTACAAGCATGCTTAGTGTGAGGGATTGCTAAAGAGACAAAAAACTCTGCACCACTGGTTTTCAGATCATAATATCATCTGCAAACAGCCTGATCCAGCTGGTCCTGATCTGTCAACCTTTCCTTCACTCGCTTCTCAGGTTCCTTGTTTTCTCTTCGGGTTGTTTGTTTTCCTGCCTTTCAGCTCATCTAGTTCAGTTTGATTCAGCGGCCTCCATGCTGTTAGAAACCCACCACCACAACAAAGTAATGTTAATTCAACCTAATTAGATAAACACTGTGTGGTAGATTAACTACCTCTGACACTAATCATCTGGGAGCTGATTCATTTCCTAATGATGGGCTCAATCCCTGCCTGTACTCACCGTACGAGGCGAGCACCACGCCCTCTGTGTTTATCCATGGAAATTTCTCCTTCAACTGATGTTGAGAGAGGAGTGAAACTTTGGCTCCAGACATCCTGGAATCACATGTAGAGATAATCAGAGGGCAAGATTTTCTACCTCAGAGCACATCTTTTATGGCCTCTGTGCGAAAAGTGAGCATCACCTTTGCGTGTTGTAGTTCTGCTCCATGATGTGAGCCACCTCCTCGCTGGCTAAGAACAGGTAACCCGACTGGTTGAACTGCAGATCCACTGGGTCTTCATTCACAACACTGAGATGCTCCTGGTGGGACAAACACACAGTAACACTATTAAAAGCACCAGCTTAAATATTCCATTCTATTCGGTTTATTTCTATAGCGCCAATTCACAACAAATCTCAAGGCACCTTCCAGTTCACCAGATCATCCAGTCAGATTGATTCAAAGTTCAAAACCAGCTGATTGCATCGACTCATTGACTCTTCAGCAATCCCTCACACTAAGCATGCTTGTAGCGACAGTGGAAAGGAAAACTCCCTTTGAACTAAGGGTGTGCAAAATGATCGTCATGACGATGCATCGCCGTATGACGTACTGCATCGATTCTTGAAGGCAAGAATCGATTATAAAAAAAAGAACAAATAAAATACATGAATGGTTGGCGCACATCAGCCAAACCAAGTGGAATACAACTTCCAGTCCAGCAGATGTCGCTGCGGATGTGTTGACGCCCGCCGCTTTGTGTCACAAACATTTCCGGCCGCGGGAAACTGAGACGAGTCATTCGTAAACAAAACATGGAGGACACTGAGAAAATTCGCCCCGCTTGGATGCAATTTGGCTTTAAAAACAAAGAAGGTAAAAATGAAATTGATATGATGCACGTAATTTGCAAAAGGACCACTGAGGCCATGTAAACGGCACTGATTATCCTTATTTTGTTATTTTAAGTTTCATGAATCCTAAGATCTTTTTGTCAGTGTGTCCACGCCAGTAATAGTAATATTTCTGTCCAGTAGTTGCCTTCATGGCAACGCCTCCAAAAGTCGTTTCAATAAATACACCTACATGTATGAATTCAGTTGCTTTCAGTTATGTTTCAATTGAAGACACGATCCAGATCACACCCAGCCAGTCAGCCACTGGTAAGGGCTGTAACTTTTTCTTACAGTGTTCAGTAAAAATATCGCAATGCATCGCAATATTTCAAGTATCATGATGCATCGTGATAGAATCGCATCGTGGCACGTGAATCGTCATTCGAATCGAATCATGACTTCTTTGCCAATACCCACCCCTACTTTTACTAAGCATGCTTGTAGCGACAGTGGAGAGGAAAAACTCCCTTTTAACAGGAAGAAACCTCCAGCAGAACCAGGCTCAGTGTGAGCGGCCATCTGCTGAGGCCGACTGGGGTTCAAGGAGACAGAAGCAGACATAGAAAAAGAAGCATAGATAAAAAATGCAACTGTAAAAGGCGGCCCCATCCCGGAAACACACAGCCAGGCAGACGAGCTCCGAGCCAGCTCCCATGTCAGAGGATGAAGAGAGCACATCCAGTTAGTCACAGTCAGAGAAACAGGACTACACTGGAAAAACAGGCCGATCTCCAACATCTAGAAACAAAGGTGTTGATGGCAGCAGCACAGCTGATATTTCTCTCCAGGATGGAGTCACAGCCAAACAGGAACAGACCAGATGAAGCTACTATGAGAAAAAGCAGAGAGAGCAGAACGTTAGAAATTGAACTAACAGATTCTGCAGAGTGGGAGAATAGAGATAGAATGAAGCAGAATGATGAAAAAGAAAAACTTCACATTCAAAAGAGGAATATCTTGTAAAGTACTTTTTTTTTTTAATGAACTTTGACCTACGTTGATGTTCCTCATGAAGTCTGCAGAGGCCAGGGAGAGGTGGATGTTCTCCAGGAGGGAGAACTGCTGGCGGATTCCACCTGCAGACAGCACCGTTGAGGCCTGGGAATACTGCACACAGAGGATCAATTTAGTTAAGAACAAGCATCATTTTACTGATGATGTTAATCAAGTAGTAATAAATTATTACTAATAAATATCTATGAATTGTTTTGCATCAGATTATATCCCATCTTTAACAGTGTTGTCACTTACTGTTGGGTCCCTCTCCACCACGAGGACCCGCATCCCTTTAGAGAGCTTTTCTTTCTGCTTCAGCCAGTAGGCAATGGACCAGCCCACCACCCCTCCGCCTACGATCACGATGTCCGCCGTCTCCGGAGGAAGGTTGGGGTTGATCTCGAAAGGCGTCCAGCTGCTACCAGGCAGAGCATCCATCGCCTTCTGCCTCATGGCTGCCAGCTGGGCTTCTAGGTCTGAACAAAAAGTCGGGACGTCACAGCGAGCTGCCAAACCCCGCCCACATTTCTTTCTGGTCCATTTCAAGGAGGCTGACTTTATGTTAATGTTTTCCTCATATTTGTTCAGATTTTCTGATGGTCTTTGTTATTTTTTTTCTATTGATTATTTGTCTGGTCACCAAAAATGATTTTTTTGTTTGTTTGTTTGAATCATTTATTCAGGTGAAAGTCTCTTAAATGCTACAGATAATATATAAATACAGACAATTTCTATTCAGACTTTTCTAGTTTGGTCAATTTTAACAACACTGCAGATCAACCTTAATAGGTTTTTAGCTGAAAACCATCTTTACAATCGCTGTGCAAGTAGATCTTTATCAAAATTTGTTTTACTTTTTACCGATATACAAAACTATTTACACCAATGCTTTTATTTAGTTTTCAGTTTCATTGTTTTTATAATTTGATGCATTTGTTATTAAAAATAAAAAGAATCTTCTCCTAATCATAGTAAGTATTAGGTAAGAGTATTCATTTTTGTCAAATCTAAAATTATTGGACCTATAACAATGAATAATAAAGTCATCTATGAACTAATAATGTTGTTCTTATACGAAGAGTTATCTAATAATTTTTCCATTAATTAGAAGGACAATTTTAGAATATCCTGTAGTTTGTTCGTATGTTCACCATTTTATATTTAAATGTAATAATTATTATCAACATTTATGTGGCATTATATATATATAAAAACAAAGAAGTAACCAGACCACCAGTTTATGATGGATTTCTATTATTTATAATTTAAGTTTAGGATATTATAACTGTTATAATTTTATTAGGTTTTTTTGCTTTCTTTTTTCTGCTTTCAATTAATAATAAATAGTGTTTTACGCTAGGCTTTGGTATGAACAGTAATTGGTAAAAATGTAAAAAAAAAAAATAAAAAAAATATTATTTGGACCTTTTTAAGGATAACCTTAAAAAAACTACAGTGAATATAATGATCATAATTATGCCGAATTGCTGCCGAGGTTTAACACGATTAGAAAATGAGTCTCATTTTACTACAAACACTGAGAGGATCTTTATATGCTGAGTTTATCTTAAATTTAGACATTTTTTAAAGGAAGCCTGGTTCAGTCCCTTTGAACAGCCACCTTCTGGGTTCCCACCTTTAAAGAAGTCATTCCTTAAGGCTCCCCCGGTGCTCAGGCTCTGGTGGGAAGGTAAACCTCCACCCCAGCCTGGCTGCCGCTGTGTCACCGAGGTGGAGGCGACTGATCCACGGGTGACAGATCCACGAAGAGTTTGCACGCTTCCGTGAAGCCGCCTCCACGCGCACATCCCGCTCTGAGCTCTGTTAACTAGTCGGTTGCAATGTCGTTAGAGGGAGATCGAACCGATTTATGAAAATGAATTTAAAAAACACATAATTCATGTAAAATCCCAGAAAGTCGGCGATCTGACAGCGAGGTCAACAGAAAGCAGCTCCGCGACATTAGTCAGAAAACAAACACTTCCTGTTTCAAATCGCTTCCCTTCAAAATAAAAGCATCAATTTAAAACGGCGGTTTTAAATCAACAATTTTATGTAAAAGTTAAGTTTCAGCAAATTGCTGATCAATGATCACTTAACTTTTGATCTGAGCTTGGATTTAGATTAGAAAATCCATGTATTAAATGAGCAGACCAATTACATACAGATTCTTCTTTATTAAATAACATTTACAGGAAAATGAACAGGTTATTAAAAAAATTAACAGAATATTATTTAAATATTCTTCCAAAAGAGATACCATGATACCATAATTTCCTTTAAGGTCCGATACTAAGTAATCTACAGTCTGGTACTAGCAATAACCAATCAATATATATGTAGCCTATATATTTTCAATTTAGTTTATTTCTATAGTGCCAATTCACAACACGTCATCTAAAGACACTTTACGGTTTACCAGATCATCCAGTCAAATTCAACGTTTTCTATCTAAGGATAGGAAACTGTGGATTGCATCGACTCATTGACTCAAAGGAAATCCCTGTTGTTTGTTTTGGTCACTTTCCTTCTGGATTACATGACTTTTCCCAAAATGTTGGGATTTTGCTTTATTTATAAAACTTTGACACACAGCTTCAACTCTAACTAAACATATATAACTAAATATTTAATGTATGGGTTACAGGTTGTTATAATAAGTAAGTTTGACTTGGTATTTTTTACGGGGAGCAGGAGATGTGTTTTATTTTTTAAACTGTAACCGGAAACATGGGATGTTTAAATGATAGCTTGACTTGACTCAGATGAGAGGCAGTGGCTTTACGTCACCAAAATAAACCAATAGTGAAGAGAAACAGTCTACTGAGTTTACATCAGTGCACCGTTAGTAAATTATTTCTTTTTTTGAACTACTTGCTGTTAATATTGCAACGATAACAATTCTGCTGTTCAAGAATGTAAAGTTGTGATAAAATGGGTTAAAAAAAAAACCATACAGCTGCAACTGGTGAAAATTTTAAAGTGGGAAGATGTATGAAAATGTGCTTTAAATAAAATTTGTTTTTTATTTTATTTTTATTATTTATTTTATTTTATCATTTATTTTATTTTTATTTTTTATTTATAAACAAAAATGATAGCAACATTTATAATAACTTTATTTCTACATCGTTGAGATTGTCGTGTTAATTATTTGTTTTTATTTCAGTGTTATAGAGAAATGCTTTTTTAAAACTGTACATTTCTGATGAGCAGGTTTTAATTATATCAGAGTTTAAGTTGCTAACTTAATTTAAAAATCTTCCTACAAGCGCAGGTGGTTGAATATTTATTAGACCCGCATCGATCGCTTTCACCTATGAGCTCTGACGTGATTTGGTGGCGCCATCTTGGGGCGGTCGAAAGCTCCGCTCAGTGTGATGTATTGAGGAGGAACAACATCAATTTTATTCTACTTTAACTTTCTGAATGTTGAACTAATTTTCAAAGGTTTGGGGGTTTTTTTGTTCTTGAAACAAATAATTGTTTCAGTGTATTTGATGTTAAGGGTAAGTGAGTCTTCTAATAGGATTAAATATAAAAAAAAATATATGTGTGTTTGATTTTTTTCTTTGTAAAACACAGTACAGTACAGTATTTTATTTGTTTATTTTTTATATTTATATTTCAGGTGATTTGTTTTTTATTTTTATTTATACTGTTTTACAGCTGTAGTTGTTTTTATGTGCTTAACAAATAAAATTGGACTTTTCTATTCTATTATTTTTATACACTTTTAAAGGTCCTCATATGAGTGACCACTGTTGCTGTAATCTTTTGCTGCTGTTACAGAACAATCGACCCATTGTGGGACAATAAAGGGAGTTTCTATTCTATGTAGTGACATACAGGGGCGGAGCTAGATGGGGGCCGGGGACGGGGGTTTAATCATTGGCCACCCCTGTGGGCACCCCTGCCATTTTTTCCCCTTCCAATACAGATGGTGGCAGCAGTAATACTCTTAAGTGGAATATTCAAAACATTGAATTTTTCATACATTAACAATTACTTGACAACAAAACACTGTTTTTAATTATGCACATCAACGTACTAATATTAAAGATGATAAGTACAGAATTAATGCTCTTTTCAGAACTAGATTTTGTGTTATATGGGGTTAAGAGAAAATGATGTATCTGCAAGTCATCTAAGAGTCTTCAGTGAAATAATAGATTAATAACTATTTTAGTAAAAATGTATTAAATAATCTATTTATGTAGATATTAGTACTTGTAAATATTAATTTTATGCATAATGATTATTGATATAAGTAGTTAAGTAATGACAATGGAAAAGATGTTCATCCCAGAACTCTAACCTGAAAGAATTGTTTCCAGTATACCTTTAATCTAGAAAGCACGGATGTTGAAATACTATATGCATCTATTTGTTAGGAAAGGCTGCAGGAAAGTATAGTTTGTCTTTATTTAGCAAATATGGATGTTTTGCTTGTTAATGTTCCTGTTGGAACGGTGTAGATTGACCCTGAGGTTCTGACATTTATCCACTTTCTGCCTCCCCTCAGTACATTGGTTAATGTCTGGCCACCCTAATAAAAATTTTCTAGCTACGCCTCAGACTACAAAGCTCTGATGCTGAAGTTATCCCTCGATGCCTGATGCCAACAGTTTGTTGAATTAAACAAAAATATGCTGCAGTGCTGAGGCATCATTCTTCTGTTCTGCTTAAAGTCGCAGGGAAGAGGCTGTTCCAACCGTTGCATTTCCGAATTCTGCCAATGTTGGTGCGAGACTTCACACGAGTGAATAAAGTGAATGTGATTGGCCGTTTATCAAGGGGGCGGGATTGTAGTTATGGAAGGTTTGCAAGCAAGTTTGGTTGTGGCCGGTTTGTCAGAAGCATCTTGCTAACCAGTTAGCATCTTAGTGCTATTGGTCCCAATGGGAAATTCCATTGGGACCAAGTAGCACTAAATTGGTGACTTAGAAACGACGCTGTCCTCTAACGAGGTTCTCAGGTTCTTTGGAGGCTGAATAGGCCCACAGCATCACTACTCAGTTTTATTCAACCAGAGAAAAGTTCCCGTCCTCCAGTAGAGCTTTACAGACTCCCCATGTTTACATTTGTGATAGCAGAACAGAATCAGTCCCAGTTGGCATTTAGAGAGCATCTAATGGTTGTTATGGTAACTTGGTGTCCGCATGGTACCGCTACTTTAACAGCAGTTCTCCTCTTTAACCTCCTCACTGCATCTGCAGGCTAGATAAACTCCCATCCTGTTGTTTTAAACTTGCTTTCCAGCGTGGGCGAGTTAAATCTCGTAGTTATGCTTCTTCAGTCCTTCAGTAACTCATTAAAGTCGTCAGGAAGCGGCCGTTCCAACCGTTGCATTTTGAGGGAATAAATTGAATGTGTTTGGTCGTTTATCATTGGGGCAGGTGGTGTGAAAGGTTCCAAGCA